GGAAAGGAAGTTGCCTAATAATTATGCACACCTGATATAGGGTGTTGATGTCATTAGACCACACCCCTTCTCATTACAGAGATGCACATCATCTAATATGCTTAATTGGTAGTAGGCTTTCGAGCCTATACAGCTTGGAGTAGGACAACATGCATGAAGAGGATGATGTGGACAAAATACTCACTTGCCTAATAATTCTGCACTCCCTGTATTATTGTTGATCACTTCAAAAATTCATTGCAGAATGCTTGACGCTAGTGCTTCCATGAGATGAGTGGGAACATTTCTCTAAGTGGTGATGGCCACACGAAGGGCATCTACTGTCTGAAACTGTTTTCCATTTTTGTACACTTCCCTTGCCATCCATTCCCTTCTATAGCACATTTAAAAGACTAGTGTACATCAAAGTGCTTCACAATAAAACCGCCAAGCGGGTAGAACAATTAACAAATAGTACAGTTAAAATTAAAATTACATTACATGGTGTAGTGCAGGCAGAATGAAAGTCGAACTTATATGCTTCAAAAGCTGAGTTGAGCAGGTGTGTTTTTAAGCGTGATTTGAATGATTGAATTGATTCCGATGTACGGATATCAACTGGGAGATTATTCCAGAGTCTAGGGGTGGCAATGGCAAAAGCACGGTCACCTCTGGTTTTTAAACGAGGCCTTAGTTGCATTAGAAGCAGTTGGCTGGAGGATCTTAGTGCTCTCTTTGGGTTGTACAGATCAAGGGGATCAGTTAGGTAGCTAGGGGCCAAGTTTTTTAGAATTTTAAAAGTGAGTAGAAGGATTTTGAAATCAGTGTGATATTTGACAGGAAGCCAGTGCAAGTTAAGGAGTATGGGGGTGATGTGCTCATGTCTTCTAGAGCCGGTTAAGAGGCCAGCTGCCGCATTTTGGACTGATTGCAGGCGCTGAAGGAGGGAGAGTTGGAGGCCCAGGTAAAGAGTGTTGCAATAGTCCAATCTGCAAGTGATTAAGGCATGGATGAGTTTTTTGAGTTCTTTATGTGATAAATAAAGCTAGTTTTTACCACAGTGGATTTCTTCTCTAATTTAAAAGAACTATCCAGGAGTACTCAAAGATTTCTGGCAGAAGGAGAGAGGTGGCTGGTGAAAGACCCCAGTGTATTGGTTAGCTGGCCCTGGGGAATGTGGCTATCAAAAATAATCATTTCTGTTTTGCTTTCATTTAAGACAAGATAATTCTGGGATAGCCAATTTTAAACCTCTCACAGACAGTCAAACAAAGGCAAGAGAGGAGATGGGGCATCCAAGTTTAGAGGAAGGTAGATTTGGATATCAACCGAATAGCAGTGGTAGAATATGTTATGTTTTTTAAAGATGAGTCCCAAGGGCAGCATGTACAGGGAGAACAGCGTAGGGCTTAATACGGATCCCTGAGGCACACCACAGTTAACCGGGGCAGAAGAGGAAGAGTATTTCCCCATGGTGACAGAGAAGGATCTGTCTGCTAGATACGATTTAAACCATAAAAGAACTTTGCCTTTAAGGCCAACTACATCTTCCAGCTGTCATGGGTGGGTCTGTGACCCAGCATTTTGAGTTCATTATATATTGTGTATTTCTGTTTTTAGTATGAGGATATGTTAAGTTCTTGTTTTTGCATTAGTTAGAACTTGAGTCTTTGTGTTTTGTCATTTATTGTTTGGGTTAAGCTCATCCACCTCTCTGAAACCCCTAAGTTGTTCAGCCTTAGTTCTGTTTATTGGAGCTCCTCATTTCCCCTTCCCCTGGATCTTAGTCTCATTTGCCCTTTGCGTTCCACGTCTCATGTTGTCAAGCCCATGTTGTTTGGTCTGTCTCATCATGTTTCCTGTTTTATTTTGAAAGAGTCCTCTGTTTTTTGTTCATTGCATTTAGTTTCACGTCCCCTGTCCTGTCATTAGGTTATGTGTGTCAGCTATGTCCTCATGTGTCTCCACTTCCTCTGATCACCTCATGTGTGTATTTAGTCCTCAGTCTTGCTGTGTTCAGTGTCAGTGTTATCTCCCCTACCCCTTGTCAGAGTTTCCCAGCCATAGTAAGTCATAGTTTGTATGTTGTTTAGTCATAGTCTAAATCTCAGTAGAGTCATAGTTTCCCAGTCTATGTTCAGGTTTTCCCACAGTTACTTTGTTGTTAAGTCCAGTTTTGTGCCCTCGCCTCTGTCTGCTCTTGGGTCCTCTACTCACTCCACACGGTCTGCCCCGGCAGTCCGTGACACCAGCCTTATTAGGAGAATATTATGGTCAACCATATCGAAGGCAGAAGTTAGATCTAATAAAACTTGAGCCACAGGGTGCCCTGAATCAGTGGTTAAAAACTCTCAATAAAGCTGTCTCGGTATTATGACAAGGTTTGAATCCAGATCGAAATTTGTCACTGACACCATTTGTCTCTAGGAAGGACTGTAGTTGCTGGATAACTATATTTTCTAAAAATCTTAGACATGAAGTTAAGTTTACAAATTGGCCTGTAATTTGAAAGAGCGTTGCCGTCAGAGTTGCTTTTATTAATATCAGGTTGCACGACTGCATGTTTGAAGGCAGTCGGAACACAGCCTGATGACAATGAAGAGTTCATTAAAATTGAGATACAGGGTCCAATAGTAGTCAGAGCATCCTTAATGATGCGGGAAGGAAGAATGTCATTTAAAGCTTTGGAAAACTGAAATGGCCTGGACTCTGTCCAGCAACGGAACCACACCCTCAGCGGTGCCGGAGGATATCCAGAACAGGCAACCCAAACTGGCACTTGGAAGGGTTGATGATCAGGCTGTGCGCTGCCAAACGCTGGAAAACCTAGCGCAGATTGGACTCGTGCTGGGTCGCCAAGCAGCTGGCCACCAAAATATCGTCCAGGTAAACAAAAACGAACGGCAGCCCACACAAAACGGAGTCCATCAGCCACTGAAAGGTCTGGGCGGCACCTTTCAGGCCAAACGGCATGCGCAAAAACTCGAACAAGTCGAAGGGGATAATGACTGCGGTTTTAGGAACGTCTTTGGCGCGCATGGGAACCTGGTGATACCCCCGCGCCAAGTCAATTTTAGAAATAATCGGCAGAAAAATCCTGAATGTGGGGGATGGGATAACGGTCATTCTCCGTGGCATTATTTCAACGGCGGAAATCTCCGCATGGCCGCCACCAACCATCCGATTTGGGCACCATGTGAAGCGGAGAGGCCCATGCACTGTTCGAGCACTGTACAATGCCAAGGCGCTCCATGGCTGCAAACTCTTCTCGAGCAACGTTCCACTGGAAATCCTGGCCATGAAAACAAACAGTCACCAACCTTTTCCCAAACGTTGCGATGGGAGAGCCATTAGCTGCAATGAGCTGCAGTCCGCAGTTTGCTGCTAGCCTGTCGGCAGCGGTCAGGGGAAGGAGGCTCTTCTGGGAGCCGGAGTCCACGAGAAAACGTCTCTCAGAGCGTGAGTCCTCTATGAAGAGCAGCCTTTCTGTATCTGTATCTTTCTTCTTTATTCCTCTCCCAACTTCAACTGAACACATCGTGCCACAAAACACAGCAACACACTTCCTCAACACTGGTTATGAGTGGAGCCCTCTAGTGGTCCACCACAATATCTTAATTGTGGTTTCTGACAAAAGATTTGCATACTGAATTAAGCTATTAAAGAATTGAAGCTAGCAAAATAGCTCATGTGATGTGCACAGCTTGTTAGTATGAAGCAAATAACAAAGTAATTTGGTAAAGCAAATATATTTATTACACTTTACATTACAGTTTTTAATGAATTACTAAACTGGTATACAAAATGGTCTTAAAAAATCTAATTTTTCAGATGTATATGAATAAAAAATGTTTAACAGATATTTTAAGGTGCCCATCTTGTCTCAAAATCTATTTTGGTTATGTCAAACATATAGCACCACTATCTGCTAGATGCCTTTCTTCAACATTGTCTAGAGCTTTCTAAACTAGATTTAAGAACAAATGAAACTCTGAAACTGTGCATTGTAGCTTTCACATTGTACATAATATAACTGAGACCTGCAAATCCAGGACTTACAAATAGGGAAATTAGAGGAAGACGGTGGCTTTCAACTGGAACTCACTAAAATAGTTTTCTAGATTAAATATGTATGTGTAAATCCAAATATCACAATTTATTTTTAAAAAGTTAAATAATGACTTTGTAGTACAGTAACGCCAGTCAGTGATCACAAACAAACATCCACAGTACCAGTGCTTGGTGTTGTTATAATATTAAACAATCTTCGTCTTTTTCCTCTTCTTTTGACTGCTCGGTTTAGGGTCAGCACAGGTGATCAGCCGACATCTCACCCTCTCTCGCGAGAAGAGGTTTGGACCAGCCTTGAAGCCGACCTGCAGGAACAGTGTAAAGATTTCACCACAAAGGAGCCAGCAAAGACAAAGAGCCTCCTTGTCTGTTCATTGTCTTCAGACTCTGATTCAGATGAGTAAGCCCTGTGTAACAGGGCCCTGAGTTTGTACAGAGCAGGATCCACCATCAGCAAGAAAGACTAATACTATCTTTAAATCAACCTCTTCCTCCAAGGTTGCAATGCTGTAGATAAATCACAGAATATGCTGGAGAATATTCCTCAGTAAGTAATTCTGGATTCATATTAGTAAATTTAGTCAGGAGTAAACATGTGGAACTCAAGATTATGGCAACTAATTTTCTTTTCAATGAATGACACTACCTAATATTCTAATTAATATTATAAAAGCATCAAAATTATAATTTCATGCTTTACAAGTACTACAACTGCTTTTTTTTTTTTTTTTAAGAAATAGTCATACTTGCTGATGATCATCTAAGTGCATTTGATCACCAGCTTTACCTTCTTAATTCATTTGGAAACACTAAAGATGTTTGAAATTTTCCAAACTGCTTCTGCATTTTAGCTTAATGTTTGTTAAATAACTTATGAGTCACTGCTGTATGTAATGTGTTGTTTTTCATGTGAGGTTGTATTTGCCTAATTTTACAACCTGCTATTAACCAGGTGATTTTTTTTTTTATTTACTTTGTTCTCATACCTAAACGGGAAGAAGGTGGACTTTCTTTTTCACAAAATACACATCCTGACAAAGACAATAAGGGGTTCTAATGTCAGCACGGGACTGAACAAACCTTGCAGAACTGAATTCTGCAAATCCAGGACCTAAAGTCAATGGCTTTCAAGTGGAACTCAACTTATAAAATAAACTAGTAACTCAACTTAGCTAGTTTTCTACATTTGTTGTGCATGTGGCAATTCCAGGAAAACAAACAAAATGTCAGTGATGGTTTGAGGGCGGGCTTTGATTACTGTGTCTGACACGCAACCAAAAAAATCTCTGCCTATCCAAAATACATGAAAAACAATCTTTTCAACAAAATTTAACATAATAACGGGAACAAAATATATTTAAATGATCAAAGTAATCAAAAGGAAAATAGCAGTCAACAAAAAATATGGAAATCCCCATCGCTCGCTTTCCTCAGTACACACAGATGAAAAGGTGCTAATATCAATTACCTGGCACCACCAATATCCGTGTGATCCAACATTCCCTAATTACTGCAATCAACCAACAAACAAAACAACATTGACAACTAATAATAAAAAATACGAATCACATTTCAAGTCATAAATCCTTTTCTCTCAAACACATTCATGGCTCATACATTGCATATGTTAATCTAAATATGCAAATTTTTGTATCAAATTTATTGGGGAATTTGATACAATGACTTTGTATAGCACAATAGTCCTTTTCTCTACATGTTAAAATGCTGGCTTTGATACAGGGAACACATATTCTCCCTTGCATAGTTGATGAACTGGAGGCTTTTAGACAACAACTAAATCCATGAAAGCCACCAATAAAATGACAATCATAAGCACGTAGTATGCAATTGTTTTATTTCTTAATGTGTTGATTAATACATTTAAAAACATAAGCAGGAAATAGAAAAGCAGCACTCCTACATTTGAATTAATACCCATAAATACAGGGTCTTCTATATAATCACATGTAAAAGCAATTTGCAGCATGCCAGGTTATATGAAGATCAGTTAATTTTTTACAAACAAATCTTCCACTTTTTGGTCTAATTTACAAGGTGTGAATTATTCACTTTTTTGAATTTTTTGAATTTTGCCCTGTCTTCTGTCTATGATCGAATGGGATCTTGTGTTCATAATTACACACAGTTCAAAAGAAATGTCTCATGGAACCAAATATGTGTTTTAGATGCTAAATATTTAAAGAATGGTCACGACTAGACCATGAGCCTGGCATCAAAGTGTAGCTTCGTATATTTGATATCAAAGTGTAGTTTTGTGTATTTGACTTGGCAAATTTAAAAAACAAATTGTTACGCAAAATGTCCTTCCTGCCGCAATCACCATCCCTTAATCTCTTAATCACTACACTGTGGCCACTCCAGTTTAAACTATGCTGTTGATGATATTTGTTCTCTAGCTGTGTATAAAATAGCTGTTGAACAAAATCAAGGTTTTTGTTATATGGTTGCTGATTTTCCAAAATAGTGGAAGAATCAATGTCAAGAAGTCATTCTTGAGGTAAATTACTTAAGAACCCGACTGAAAGTCAGTGACACGAGATAGTATAACGGGTTAGGCACACTGCGACAACTTCTAGACAATTTTTTTCAAAAATAGTTTTTTGAATGTTATTAAGAAGCCTGGAGAACTATTCCTCAAGACTACTTAAAGAGAGTTACACTAAAAAAGTTGCTTTTTTTCAGTTGCAGGTCAGAATATATATAATAAAAGGTGTTGCTTCTCTTTGGGTTTCTAGTATGCTCATAAAGAGGTTCAGCTTCTTGATCTTTATGTTTGGATAGAATGACATCAGCGAGGCGCTGCCTGCAGCCTGAACTCCTGAGGCGTGTGGGTGAAGCCCAACACACCATCCATGCTGGGCATTTCTCCAGGAATAGGAGTGAAGGTGAAGCGTTGGAGCAGAGATGCAAAGAAAAGGAACAGCTCCATTTTGGCCAGGGGCTCACCAAGACACATACGTTTACCTGTGGGGTGACAAACAGAAGTATTTGTTTTTGGTGGCACTCATTTTCTAAAATGGGAATTCTGATTATTGTTGCTAAAGAACAAAAAAAAAAGTAGATTTAAAATGACCTGCTGCAAATGGCAAGAATGCATCTCTTTTTCGAAACTGGCCCTGTGAATCCAAGAAATGCTCAGGATTGAAGACATCTGGAGTCTCCCACTCATTCTTGTCAAACAGCACGGATGCAAGAATCATAGTCGTAGCTGTGCCCTGAAAATACGTTTTACAATCTTTTTGATATTAGCTGTTTAGAAATAACCATCTCTGTGTGAGTCAGGTAAATCGTCACTTACCTTAGGAATGAAGTATCCTCCCAGTGTAGTGTCCTTAGTGGCACGTCTCGGGAATCCCAGGGGAGCAATATTTCCAAACCTTTGGACCTCATGGACAACAGCATCAGTGTACGGCAGGTTGGGTCTGTCAGCCAAGGTGGGCAGGCGAGACTGTCCGATCACTCTGTCTATCTCTGCCTGGACTTTCTCTGAAAATGTAAGCACAGTAAGGACTAACACAGACAGTTCACTGCTCATCATGGTTAAACTCTGATCAACAGTCTCAGTCCTTCACTGAAATACATCAATGTTAAGTGTTATTGATTAGACTCTGACCCTGTATCTCTGGGTAGGTCATCATGACTACAAGGGCCCAGCGCAGGGTGGTAGCAGTTGTTTCTGTTCCAGCCTCAAGCAGGTCAAGGGAGGATAACGACAGTGTTTCAAGGTTGAAGCCAGCCTGGGGATCCATTTGTTTCTAATGTAACAAAAAAGTACTGACATTATTCAAAGTGATGAGCTGATTTAGGCTATTTTACATCACTACTAAATATATTATTATTTAACAGCATGTTTTACATTTTCTTGACAAATTGTACTCATAATGAATAAGTTGCCCTAACTTAGTTATTTTAAGTAAGCTTTATGTCATTCTTCACAATTTTTTTACATTTTGGGAACTGATTGGATTTTCCGGTGTACTCTCCAGAAGCATGTTCAGAGTATTCACCACCATGGCTAATTGAAACTCCTGGTTCATATAAGCATTTAGATATTTTTATCAATTTTCAAGTGACACTGATAATAATTCTTTAGGGAATTAAAAGTGGTATTTTGGTGAAGAACTAAACAAATTTCATCAGCAAGTAATGCGCTGAAAAACGTTAGAATCTTTTTTAGTCCAGTTTTTGCTTGTATTACAGTTTGGTGTGTCTGATATACCCATTCTGTTGCTGTTCCTGCATCAAAGTTGCAACTGACAAATCACATTGTTGTGATGTCATAGTGTAGCTTTGCAAACTAGGGATAAAGGGAAAAAAAATTATACAATATAGTTAATATATTATCAAGCTGGGCCTGCTGTTTGCCAGTCATATTAGCACTGACTAAGTGTAATGCAGCATTTATGT